CACTGATATTTAGACAGATGAAGGCTCATGACATTTAGAGAGATGAAATCTCACTGACATTTAGACAGATGAATGCTCACTGACATTTAGACAGATACGGCTCACTGATACTTAGACAGATGAAGGCTGACTGACATTTAGACAGATAAAGGCTCACTGACATTTAGACAGATAAAGGCTCACTGACATTTAGACAGATTAAAGCTCACTGACATTTAGATAGATGAAGGCTCACTGACATTTAAACAGATTAAAGGCTAAATGACATTTGGACAGATAAAGGCTCACTGACATTTAGAGAGATGAAATCTCACTGATATTTAGACAGATGAATGCTCACTGACATTTAGACAGATAAAGGCTCACTGATATTTAGACAGATAAAGGCTAAATGACATTTGGACAGATAAAGGCTCACTGACATTTAGAGAGATGAAATCTCACTGATATTTAGACAGATAAATGCTCACTGACATTTGGACAGATAAAGGCTCACTAACATTTAGAGAGATGAAATCTCACTGACATTTAGACAGATAAAGGCTTACTAACATTTAGAGAGATGAAATCTCACTGATATTTAGACAGATGAATGCTCACTGACATTTAGACAGATAAAGGCTCCCTGACATTTAGACAGATGAAGGCTCACTGACATTTAGACAGATAAAGGCTCACTAACTTTTAGAGAGATGAAATCTCACTGACATTTAGACAGATAAAGGCTTACTAACATTTAGAGAGATGAAATCTCACTGATATTTAGACAGATGAATGCTCACTGACATTTAGACAGATAAAGGCTCACTGATATTGAGACAGATAAAGGCTAAATGACATTTGGACAGATAAAGGCTCACTGACATTTAGAGAGATGAAATCTCACTGATATTTAGACAGATAAAACTTCACTGACATTTGGACAGATAAAGGCTCAGTGACATTTAGACAGATAAAGGCTCACTGACATTTAGAGAGATGAAATCTCACTGACATTTAGACAGATAAAGGCTCACTGACATTTAGACAGATAAAGGCTCACTGACATTTAGAGAGATGAAGGCTCACTGACATTCAGAGAGACAAGTGCTCACTGACATTTAGACAGATAAAGGCTCACTGACATTTAGAGAGATGAAATCTCACTGATATTTAGACAGATGAAGGCTCACTGACATTTAGACAGATAAAGGCTCACTGATATTTAGACAGATGAATGCTCACTGACATTTAGACAGATAAAGGCTCACTGATATTGAGACAGATAAAGGCTAAATGACATTTGGACAGATAAAGGCTCACTGACATTTAGAGAGATGAAATCTCACTGACATTTAGACAGATAAAGGCTTACTAACATTTAGAGAGATGAAATCTCACTGATATTTAGACAGATAAAGCCTCACTGACATTTGGACAGATAAAGGCTCCCTGACATTTAGACAGATAAAGGCTCACTGACATTTAGAGAGATGAAATCTCACTGACATTTAGAAAGATAAAGGCTCACTGACATTTAGACAGATAAAAGCTCACTGACATTTAGACAGATGAAATCTCACTGATATTTAGACTGATGAAGGCTAACTGACATTTAGACAGATAAAGGCTCACTGATATTTAGACAGATAAAGGCTCAATGACATTTAGACAGATAAAGGCTCACTAACATTAAGACAGATAAAGGCTCACTGACATTTAGAGAGATGAAATCTCACTGACATTTAGACAGATAAAGGCTTACTAACATTTAGAGAGATGAAATCTCACTGATATTTAGACAGATGAATGCTCACTGACATTTAGACAGATAAAGGCTCACTGATATTGAGACAGATAAAGGCTAAATGACATTTGGACAGATAAAGGCTCACTGACATTTAGAGAGATGAAATCTCACTGATATTTAGACAGATAAAACTTCACTGACATTTGGACAGATAAAGGCTCAGTGACATTTAGACAGATAAAGGCTCACTGACATTTAGAGAGATGAAATCTCACTGACATTTAGACAGATGAAGGCTCACTGACATTTAGACAGATAAAGGCTCACTGATATTTAGACAGATAAAGGCTCACTGACGTTTAGACAGATAAAGGCTCACTGACATTTAGACAGATGAAGGCTCACTGACATTTAGAGAGATGAAATTTCGCTGACATTTAGACAGATTAAAGCTCACTGATATTTAGACAGATAAAGGCTCACTGACATTTAGACAGATAAAGGCTCACTGACATTTAGACAGATGAAGGCTCACTGACATTTAGGCAGATTAAAGCGCACTGACATTTAGACAGATGAAGGCTCACTGACATTTAGACAGATAAAGGCTCACTAACATTTAGAGAGATGAAATCTCACTGATATTTAGACAGA